GAGAAGAAGGAGGAATTCTACAGACAACTGCAATCAACACTGGTAAGACCCCACTCCAGCTGGCGATATCAAAACTCATTCTAATGGGTGTTGTGACATGAATGCGAAACTGGGAGGGGACAACACAGGAAGAGAACTAACCATGGGTCGAGAAGCGGTCGGTGAGGTGATGAACGAGAATGGAGAATTGTTTGCAGAATTCTGTGCATTCAACGATTTGGTGATTGGAGGTGAGGCAGTGTGTTCAAGCACAAGGATATCCACAAAGTGAGCAACATGGATTTCACCAGACACCAGAACACACTAAAAATCAGATCGACTTTATCTCAATCTCAAGAAAATGGAGACGCAGTCTACTTAACACAAGGTCAAGAAGAGGAGCAGATGTAGGTTCACACCACTCACTGTCTAGTGCAAGGAACCCACCATGAGAATCAAGTTGAAAGCCTTCAAGGAAGTTGGTGATAGACCACAGTTCAAGTACAACACTCGGAAACTGAAGGATGAAACTACAAAGGAAATCTTCACGGCAGCCATCATGACAAAACGGGAGACACTAAGCAACATCCCTGAAGAAACCTGTGTGGAAGAACACTGGAACTCTTTGAAAGCTATGTAGAAAGAAACCTGCACAACCGTATTAGGAAGGAAGAAGAAGGAAGACAAGGAATGGATCTCAATGCATACATGGAAGCTGTTAGAGCAGGAAGAGGACGATGGTGATGGTGAAGCAGAAGATAAACCAGTGCAAAGATGAACGACGAGAAGAGGAACTGTGTACAATGTATAAAACACTAGACTGGACAAAGAAGTGAAGAAGAGTGGGTGGAAAGACAAAAGACACTTCTTCGAAACACTGGCAAGTGAAGCAGATTAGGCTGCTGCTGGTAGGAGAGACACAGACCTGACAACATTGTATCAAATAATCAGGTTACTATCTGGGAGGGAACAGATCAATGCAGACGAAGGCAATAAAAGATGATGGAAGGAAATTTAATTACGAAAGAAGAGAAACGAAGGAAACAATGGGCTGACCACTTCAAAAAGCTCTCGAATCGACCACCACCACCACCACCACCATCTGCACTTCGTCCAGAAATACCACCAGCAGGCCAGTCACAGAACTATCAGTGAACACAAATCCCCAACAAAAGTCGAAGTCCTGAACGCCATAAATCTACTGAAATGTAGGAAAGCAGCAGGACTAGATGGAATTCCTCCAGAAGCACTGAGAACAGACGCAGAGACAACAGCCGACATGCTCACACCACTATTGCAGAAGGTGTGGAAGGAAGAGAAGGTACCTGGTTAGTGATTGGAAGAAGGGTTACCTTGTCAAACTGCCGAAGAAGGGAGACCTCAGTGTTTGCAAGATCTGGCAAGGAATCAAGCTCCTGTCCACCCAATGCAAGCAAAATATTAAGCTGCATCATCCTGGAGAGGCTAAGGGATGCGCTGGATACAAAACGACGACCGGAACAGGCTGGCTGGATTCAGGAAGTACAAATCATGTGCGGACCAAATTGTAACGCTACACTACGCATCATCATAGAACAGAGTATAGAATGGCAGTCAACTCAACTTTATTGACTTTGAGAAGGCCTTTGACAGCGTCGACCGAGAGGTAATTTGGAAACTGCCTCATTACTACGGAATGCCACAAACCTTTATCAGCCTTATTCAACAACTATATGAAGATGCCATATGCCAAGTAATTCACAATGGGAAGCTCAGTGATGCTTTGGAAGTGAAGACAGGAGTAGGAGTGAAACAAGGTTGCCTTCTATCCCCCATGATATTCCTGATTGTGGTCGACTGGATCATGCAGCAAACAGTGGGGAGCTGGGAGAAAAGGAGGATACGCTGGACTGCGGAAAAGAACCTAGAAGATCTGGATTTCGTCAACTATGACTTTTGTCTGATGTCACACAAACCTGAAGATCTACAGGTGAAATCCAACAAGGTGACAGAAGAGGCAAGGCAGACAAGACGGGACTTCAAGTGAATATAGAGAAGATAGAGGTGATGAAGATACCCAACCAACAACTCCAACAACAACAACAACAACAAACTCCAATCACCATCAACAGGAGGAACTCAAAGGAAGTAACCTCTCTCACCTATCTAGGCAGCACTGTCTCAACTGTAGGTGGCACAGGCACAGACGAGGATGTCAAAGCCAACCAGGATGGGAAAAGCAAGAGAGGCGTTCATTAGCCTGAAACCAGTGTGGAGATCTTCTGCACTGCACTCAGCATGTGGAACAACATCCGGATTTTCAACACCAACACCAACGTCAAATCAGTGCTTCTATGTGATGGTTGAGAGACTTGGTGAGTGACGAAAGGGATTCCCAACAAACTACAGACATTCATCAACAATTGTCTACGCTGGCTCGTTACTGAAGCTCAGATGGCCAGAATAATAATAATAATAATAATAATAATAATAATAGTAATAATAGGCAACAAGGAACTGTGAGAACGGACCAAACAATAACGTATTGCTGAAGAAATATGCATTGGAAGGAAGTGGAGATGGATTGGGCATACACTGAGAAGGCCGACTGTGGACATCAGGCGTCAGGCCAGGCACTCGAGTGGAACCCAGATGGGAAGCAACGAGTTGGGCATCCCAACTGAGGGTGACATGGAGGAGATTGTGCGAGGAGGAAATGAGAGGTTGTGGGCAGTCGTGGAGCCAGGTTGAAAATACTGCAGAGAAGAGAGTGGAATGGAGACGTGCTACTGAATCCCTATGTTCCATTAGGAACCGAAGGGCCTAATAATAATAATAATAAGTGAACAACATGAAAAGACTTGCATTCACATTTTTTCATAGGATTCTAATCAAGATATTCAGGTTTCATGAAAATATATTGGAATCACTGAGGAAAATTTACGACGCACGTGGTCAACCATTTTCATAGTGAGGACCTATTCACCTATTCTGCACTACAGTCACTCTGTCTTCCCCATTACAGCTATTAATAACCCTATTTCTTCACCAAGTATCCCAAGATGTATGCACAGAATGCTTGTCAATTGAGTACACTTCCTCAGAAGCTCACTATACCCTCCTGGTCTTTGTCAAATGTCATCTTCATAGTCTCACAGAACTTAACCTGATTCTACTCTGAAACCAGCTAGCCCCTTCTGGCTATTCTTTAACTGCCTATCCTCCGTGGCTGTTGATAGCAGTCTAAGTTTATGAGACTTTATCCGGAGCCTTCTGAAGCATATCTAACTGAATGATTGATTCATTGATTGATTGGTTGACTGACTGACTGACAAAATCAACCTACGTCGAATTGGATGACAGGCTTCAAATCCTTGTAATATTGATTTATGAGGGTAGTTAGCATTTCTCCGACCCACAACGCATCCACTTATGATCATTCACTTTGACTTACCTGGGCTATGTGGTGTATCTATACGACTTATTTCGATGGCTAGTTCTGGTGGCCTTTTTGGTGCAAGTATGATCAGAAAGCATAATGTTCAACTCCAGTTTATTTCAACTAACAGTCTCTAGAAAGCTGTTTGACTAGATGTTACCACAATAACTGGAAAACATTATGATATGAACCAGTGTTTATACCGGGTTCTCATTTATTCACCCACTAGCTACAAATAGACCAAAGTTAAAGGTGAATTTTAACTAGAATTATTTAGCCCTCCACAGAGAGCGGAAAAGATACATAAGGTTGGTTATCTCAACGGTTGACTTATCATTCAGAAGTATTTCTACATATCACTCAGTACTTCAATGAAACTAAACTGACTGAAGAAACTAGATAACTCACTACTATTCGTGTGCTTCAGTCTATACATGCAACTAGTTACTTCTAAATAACGACACTGGTATCCTCATACATTCTGAATACTTCTTGATAAACACTGGAAATGAAGATTGTAGATTTGCACGAATTATTATAAAATCCATCTTATTTTACAAATAAAACAGGCAATATTTTGGATTTGAAAAAGAAACTGATAACAGTAAACAAAATATATTCTGTTCAATGTCTCAAGTATACCACTTAACTGAGATGAAAGGAAACGTCTTTTTAATTAATGTAGCTAAGCAGAACGTCTTGTCATTTTATATTCTAGAAAAGATAAATAAAATAAATTTGTTACTGCACAGCATAAAGTTATCTTAAGTAACTTTTATCTGTGTGAGAAAATCCTTAGTTTACTGTAATTAATTAATTAATTTTACCACCAAACTAAATAGATGCAATTTCGTAAGATATCCAGGCATATTTTTGTGTAACTGGTTGATCAAATTGAATCGATTATCCGTAAAGTTATCTGCATTATTTTACCGTTTACTTTCAATATTTTATTGTGAAATCACAGGATGTTTCCTAACAGTAACTGACGCCTCCTGCTATACTTAATGCTTGTACCCTGATGGTATCTACAGAGATTAAAATTCAATAGCCATTGTTTAAAAAAGTAATGAAGCTTTACTTACTGGGATACTAAGCAACAAAAGTTACCTGCTACGTTATTCAGGTAGATTGGGTCTTCTATGGATTTTCATTTATCGTTTTTTCGCATTCTAGTTACTTGACCTCACTTACAAAGTAAACACAGAGAAGCTTCTAATGTAGACTCTATATAATGATAATTAACGACATTCTAACAGCCCTGTTGTTATATGTTAAGAGTTAATTGACAGAAGACCCAGCTTCACTTTAGTTTCGCACTTGCCAACAGTCATCAGTAAGGTCGATCTGTAAAGTATATCTATAAAATAACATCACTGTATGTAAACATTCATTAAAAATCTATTTCCAATAAATTGCATCTGTAAACTAGGGAAAGTCATGTTATCTAGGAAATTAGAACCAGTGTTACTCTTTTTGGTGAATTGATAGACTTTGGTACTGAGCCAAGCAGGTCATGACTGATCTCTTACAAGATTATATGTTTTAAGTGCAAAACACTTGACAGGTACAACTACCGGTATTCCATTTTTCTTTCATGCAGGTTGTATCATCAATCGATATATGATATTCTAAAAACCTAAAGTAAGGGATAACAGCTATCACACTCAGCAACTTTTGAGTCAGGAATGGCATTTGTAACTCTGCAATCTACAAGAGACTCATTTCCAAATTAAGACTTACCGGTTGGGCCTAATTCTTTGTCAAAATTCATCACATTTGTATGTATAGCTTGCGGGTTTCAAAAGAAGGAAAAATTTGGAATTTCAGTGAATGATTTCTTCCGTCCACAGTATTCAGTCCTTAGTGACCTATCCGCTTTTTGCATAATGGCCTTGGAACTGCTGACTATTGAATCTTGATATCATTGTGCTGTCAAGAAGTGGGATTCAAACATACATTTCATTCTGACTGAATACAAAGAAAGCCTTCAGTATCCAGTTTCCAATTAACAATAACATAGATTCATCGATTTCACCATCACTCTTTCAATCTTAGCATTAACTTTTAGTGCCTTTGATCCTGTAGACTAACTAGATAATTCCATTGAATAACCATAATGTGCTGATTTCAAAAGTGTCAAGGATTCAGCAGTTGTCAGTTCCATTAAAAAGTCCTGTGACTAGTCCGCATTTCAACATTCCATCTTATTTGTCATGCCACAAGCCTTAAGTTTGTCACCTAATTAATGACTTTCAAGACGTGGTGACAAACATCTCTTGTAGTTGGCAGCTGTTATTTGTCTTGTATGTGAAACAAAATCGATTAATCTCAGGCAGCAAGCACTAA